ACACATGGTGCCTTGACCTGGATAGTGACTCGGAGCTCGCCCTTAGCCTCCAGGCCTTTGGAACGCAGTGAATACAGTCTCTCACACATTTGGGGTAAAGGAGATGTTGCACTGTGGGAGTGGGACGTTCAAACATGCTAGGCCTGTGTTTAGAAGTAGAAACAACGACATCTGGAATAGTGTTTGGGCTCTGCCCAGACTCTGAAGACCAAAGAGACTCTTCCTCTCTCCGGCCCGAGTTCTCAGGCATCCCTACCTGAGTGGGGGCCTTGGAGAGGTGTCTGGGGTCAATCCCTAAGACATGAAGGGGCCCCATAGGGAACTCCCATCACCCACCACCCTCAGCCTTTTCTGCCTCTATACCTGGCCAGAAGAAAAGTCAGTTCAGATCGTTGGCCTATTATAAGCTTGTAACATCTCTCTTCCCCAGATGACTTCTCACATTTCTCTCCCCCAGGTGGCTTCTTGCAGCATCTCTCTTCTCTAGCACTTCAACTTCATCCAGATACTCCTTGCAGGATTTGCAGGGAGAGGCGATGTTACTTTGGCCTGGTGAAGGTCTTGCTCTCTCCCTCTCGAGAAATTGCCGCACCCCATGAGCACGGTCAACAATTTAAAAGACACAAGGGCACTTGCCGCAACAAAGACACCCATGAGGGGATGAGCTGGGACGTGGACTGGGACAGAATGCTAGATTTCCCCCCAGCTGCAAGCGCAAGTTCACACAACGAGAAGCACACTATAGAACAGTCACACTCCTATCTCTCCAGTGCATTCTCCACTTAGGTTTAGTTCTCGAGAGGAGAAAGCAAGATATGAGCCCTCAGTGGAAGGTGCTGGCTTTTCCAGGTTCTTTTCTCCTAACTATGCTTTTCTTTGCTCATATTTGCTTCATTCATAATTTTCCCTCTCTTCAACCAAGTTTCTGGTTGTTTCTCCTGAAATAATATTTCTCTCCCTTTCTTTCTCCCTTCCTACCCTCTCTCTAAAAATAAATAAATAAATTCATTTTTAAAAAAAGTTTCATGGTGGCCCTGGCTGGTGTGGCTCAGTGGATTGAGCACCCGCCTGCAAACCAAAGGGTCACCGGTTAGATTCTCAGTCAGAGCCCATGGTGGGTTGTAGGCCAGGTTCCCGGCAGGGGGCGCGTGAGAGGCAACCACACACTGATGTTTCCCTCTCTTTCTCCCTTCCCCTCTGTCTAAAAATAAATAAATGAAACATGTTTTAAAAAAAGATTCATGGTAGGCACTTTACCACAACAAATAAACAAAATGTGGTATGTCCATACAAGGGAATATTATTGTCACTAAAAAGAAGTGGAACTTGGATACATGCTATAACATGGATGACTACTGAAAACCTTACATTAAATGAAAGACACAAATGACCACATAGCATATGATTCCATTTATATGAAATGTCTAGAAGAGGCAAACGCATAGTTGCAGAAAGCAGATCAGTGGGTGTGAAGGACTGAAGAAGAAGGAATTGGGGGTGACTGCTAATAGGTGCGGGGTTTCCCTTGGTCTGATGGAAATGTTTGGAATTAGTGGTAGGTGTTGCATAACATTGTAAATATACATAGATTTAAAACCCACTGATTCATTGAATCAGAAATTCTATGTTAAGTAAATTTTACTTTAAAGTAGTAATAATAAAAACTGAAAGCTACGCACTGAAAAAAAATATAGGGGATAGGCAGAGACAAATGTATTTGAAAAAATAAATTAAAATAAATTTTAAAAAATACAGCCATTTATTTGTTAGCTATACGGCTGTCTTCCAATTACCATGGGGTCAGGCAGTGTCCATGTTTCGCTGGCCTGAAAGAGAACAAGATAACCCAAGGCTCCAGGTGTTGGGAATCATTCTGTGTGATTTCAGGGACTGTGACCTCATCGATAGGCAAGAGGGCCCCAAGGCTGGAGCTGAGCAAGGAGGCCTTGGGAAAACAGGTCACTGAGGAGACAAGACCCCCAGAAGATGGCTTGTTAGTCAACGACAGGAAAGAACCCTCAATGGCAGGGGCAACTACAGTTGCATAGGGGCCATCAGGGAAGGACTTGGGGGACATGGAGAGGGAGCAAAAGACCCTCACCCCTTAATTTGTCATGGCCGGAGTCCTCATTCTAACTGAAAAAAGTCTCCTTATCTCTTGGCTGCTCTGTTCCACCCACCTGACCCGGTCAGTGAAACAATACTAAAAGCAGATACAGCCCTAAACTGGATCAGGCGGTTCCCAGGGACAATTAGGCCTGGAAAAGGAATACATTAAATCCTAGGAAACTTACTTTGCTAATATTGCCCTCAAGGTAATGAGTACTGATGTTGGGGTCCGGCATAGAACGAGATCAGTTTCCCATGTTTTAGGACCGAATGGGCGCTGTCTTGTCTACCAGACCCTGAGGTAAATCTCTGTGTTCCTTCTGTTATCTACGATATGTATCTCTTTTCTGTAAACATAGCCTTTTGACACTGAGCTTTGTATGCATGCTGTATACTTCTGCACATATTTTCCTTAATATAAGCCACTTCAAGAGAAGGGCTCTGAGCATTCTCCACTAGAGGGAATTGTCACCCTCTTTTTCTGGAAGACCAAGAATGTCTGGGAATGACTTCTTTCCTTCATCTGCGGTGACCTGGGGGGACTCTTCAGGGAACGGGGCACCCCACTCATCCAGGAGCACTGGGGGTAGGTTTGTAACATGGGGCTAATGGCCTGAGCAGTGATTATGCATCTTAGGGTTTTGTCCCTGGAACATTTTCCATGTCATTTGAAAGTCTTTGAAATATATTTAAAAAATGAAAGAGGTTGAGTTCCTTGGATTAACCATGTTGATACATTCAGACCCTGCACCAACTTCCTGGCATTCCAAAGCTTGAGATGAATCTATGGGTCCTCACTCTGAAATAGTTCTACACTTATTCTTGTGTTAAAAAGGCTAAATAATGAAAGTTATTTATACCTGTCAGTTAAAACAGAGAAGAAAACATTTATTGTGCAACACGCACTGAGATGTTTCATATATCCCAGGCACTGTTTGAAACCCTCTACAAATATTGACACATTTTATCTGGTTTCCATCATCATTTTACAAACGAGGCAACCGAGGCACAGAGGCCATCGTCACTCCCAGAATCACACAGGGAGTAGCAGGGCAGGGTCTCACCGGGGCCCTCCAGCGGCAGAGTTCCTGCTCCCCCAGCACCTGCCGCCTCCACCGTGTCTGCGCAGACGCTCACAGAGCCTTCTGGAAGGTCACGCTGCCGCTGGCCATAGTGTGCTTTGGGGGGAGCAGACAAGGGCTGAGCATGGGGAGGGGCTCTGCTTTTTACTGGATTTGCTGCTTAGGCTTCTGCAAAGGGCAGGTCTGGACTTCGTGACACCAAGTAGAGACAAAGGTCCGAGCGGACAATCCCTAAGGCTCTGGGCCTCCTGCTCAGCAAAGGGCTGACTCTGAGGGCCCCTCTCAGCCGGTGGTGGTGGGTGGGCGGCCTAACAACTTGGAGGAGGTGGAACCTCAACCGGAGGCCCTTTCGGCTCAGGTCCCTCAGTCTGGGCCACACCCATGTCACCAGCTTTTCCAGAAGGTCGGGGGGAAGCCACGTGGCTGGGCGGTGGGGCCTGCCAGCAACCCCACAGCAGTGACCTTGAAGTCCCTTCCTGTTCTGTCCCATTTTCATATGATTGTTTAAAAGTAAAATTAGTACGTGAAATGGAGATTTAATTTCTCTCACAATTTCAAAAGTCTGTGGAAAGGACAGGAAGCATATGCAGCCTGTGTCAATGATGCCCTACCTGTCCCGTCCTGCCCCGCCCAGCCCCTGCCTGTCCCTTCCCACCACGGGGTCATGCCCCGCCTTCTCCTCAGGGCCTGGTGATATCCGCATGCTCCTCCTTCCCGGACAAGGTCCCTCTTTCTGGAAGTTCTGCCTAAAGGCGGTGTAGCCCACCACCAGTGACCGCGGCCCCACCCCGCATATTGTAGTTGGGAGAAGCCAGGACCTCGGGAAGCAGTGTGCACCCTGGGTTTAGGGTGAAAGTGGACAATGGGAAATGAGGACACCTCTTTGGTTTATTTATTCCAGGAAAATTTTTTGAGGAGGCAGCTCAATTCTTCTTGTGTGAGTCTCTGCCTCGCAAACGACAACTTCCTCCTGGCAGTGGCAGGCAGGCTGTGCAGCCCTAGGCTGGGTTGTAGGACAGGCGCATTTCCGTCCCCCATGCCGGGGACTCCTCGCTGGCCCACTTTCAGAGCCGTGCTGCACGCGCCCGCTGCCCGCCAAGGGGAAAGGCAGCCAGGACTTCCCTCCAGTGACTGGAGAAAGGTGTGTGTGCGGGGGCTGGGGGGAGAGGTGGGGGATGTCACTCAGATCCAGAGCTACAGCCCCCTCCTTCCCTGTGCATCGCGCCCCTGTCCCTGCCACATGTGCTGGTGAAGTCGAATCAAGAACCAGAGCCCTGTGATTGGGTGGAATTTTTATTAGTGAAGCAAGCAGATCATGGTGAAATTTGATTATATTTGCCAAAAGTGGAGATACCTTGCGGCTTCTGGAATCCCCGTAAAGGACCCCTGTCTACCGTTGATGACCCTTCCCAAGCGTTCATGAGCCAGGACAGTTTGTGGGAAATTGCACAGCTTGTAAAGTGCCTTGTGTTTCCACCAGGTAGAGAAAGTGACCCAAAGAAATGAGCTGCCCCAGCGAGGGGGCCCCAGGGCCTGGGGTTCCGCTTCCTGACTCTGGCTCTAGGTGTCGGGATCCTCCGACAGCAACATAACCTCCCAAGGTTGGCCAGAATCATAGAAAGAGGACCGGTCCCCCAGATTGGACAGATCTATTGCTAAAGGAGAAAGAATAAGAAGAGTGATGGAAGCTGAGTGTCTCCTGTCGCCAAACATCCAATCCACCTGCCAGAACTCGGTCAGCACCGCGGCCCTGTCTCTGGGCCCGTTCGGGAAGCCGAATCCGGAGGTCAGCTGGTCACCGGTCCTCTGTCAGCTGACACTGCAGAGAGAGAGGACGAGAAATGGAGGGACGGAGAGAACATGGGCAGAGGAGCGGAAAGAGGGCGAGAGAGAAATAAAAACACAGAGAGAGGGGGAGGAGAGATGGATGAACAGAGCAGGAGGACGGGGACAGGGGGACACCGAGACCACGGCAGGGCGGCGGCGTCATGGAGAGACCAGGCATCCAGACCCACCCCGGCCTCTGCACGCCCTCTCCCTGTGAAGGAGCCGGGACCTCACCTGGAACAAACCCTGTCGTCCGCACACCGGGCCGAGGAACACTGGCCTCTCCTTTTGACCACGAAGGTCTCCGGGGATCCGAGTGACCCGGGACAGCACTGCTCGAAGCAGACCCTGAAGGTGCAGTTCCCACACTTTTGGGTCCTGCTCAAGGGCACCACAGCGTTGTCATAGCAGCAGTGCTGTTGGGGGTCATAGAGCTGGTCTCCACATGTTGTATATGACTGGCAGAGCAGCAGGTGAGCGGCCGTGGGAGACACTGGAGGAGACACAGCCGGTTTGGCCCGGACGGCTGGGCAGGCGGGGCCCAGCCTGGGGCGCTCTGGGAGCTGCCCCCCACCCGCACGTGTCCATGTCCCTCTGGGCTCACCTGGGACTCCATGTGCGCAGAGGAGGGTGACGACGCAGAGAGCAGCCGAGGCAGCTGTGGGAGAGGAGACGGGTGAGGTGCGGCTGGAGGGGAGCCGTGGGTCCACCTCGGGAGCCCAGCCTGGGGCCCGGCAGGTCTGAGGGGCCCCTGGGCTGACGGAGTTCAGGGGGAGGCTGGGAGCGGTGCAGGGCGGCCCCCGTGCCCTGTGCTCAGGGGGTTTGTATAAGGACCTGCGGAGGGGGAGGGTGCTGGCAGGACTCTGGGAGAAGCAGGTGTAGGGTTGGGGGAGGTGGGTGTTTCCTGGGCAGAAGCTGAGAGCAGGAGGCCCAGGTGCTGTGAGGCCCTCAGGGGCTGAGCTTCTGGCTTGTTGCGGGGAGGACCCGCGTGGAAGGTGGAAGATTGCGTTGGGAGGGGCAGAGGGACATGTGTGGCGTTGGGCATGAGATTCAGAAGTGAATCCGAGACGTGCACGGGTGTGACTGGGGATGGGGGTCAGCGAAGGCCTGGCGCTAAGGAGGACGATGAGGTGGGGCCGGGGGTGGCTGAGCTCGGGGCCGGGCTCTGAGGGAACTGGCGGTGGGTCCTCCTTACCCAGGATGTAGCATCGGGCAGTCATGGCTCTGGGTCACTCTGTCAGCGCCTGCAAAGTCAGAGGAAGGTCTGCAGCTTCCAGCAGGTGCTTTTATCGGATGGGGGTGATGTCATCTGTCTCCTGTCTTCTGTCCTGGCCTGCAGAGACGTGCTGGGCCTTGAAGTCAGGAAAATTGAGACAGCCTCCTTTGGCAACAGGGGAGCATGATGCCGTTCTCCCACCATGATACTCTCTCCAAATGCCTCCCACTCACGCCCAGCCTCACATACGGATCAACAAACAGGATGGCACACGGTGTGCCTTGGTGCCATCCATGTTGGTCCACAATGGATCCACCAGAGAGTTTTTATTGCATCCTATGAGTCTTCTCCTCTCCCCACTTTCTTTTGCATGATGCCAACCTCTTACATCCTTCTGGGCAGGGTGGGGGACGGGGGGTGGTGTCAGCTCCAACCTCACAGCCCCAGACCAGGAGCTGCTCACTAAGCCACAGCTCAGGGCATTCAGGTGAAAGAGACTAGGTTTCAAATACTGGAAATTCCAGGTTGAAAGGGTTGGGGAAAGGAGGGGATGTGTGGGGAAGGTGCCGGGGTGGCTCGTGACACAGACCACGGGGAAGGCCTGGAGGGGCCCTGGGACTCCCCCTCCGCAGGGCGCTTGTCCCCGTCGCCCGTCTCTCATCGCGGTCATTCATTCCAGAGCTCCTGTCCACTCAGCACCTTCGAGGGCCCAGGCTTGGTTTCAGACACAAGTGAGAGGGGGGCGAGTAGCCCATTCACAAGTCACAATTCTCATGCAGTTCATGAGAGGGAGGGGACAAGGCAGAGATAAGGAGACAGAGAATGAATTTGAGTTTGGTGGTTGCGGTCAATGTCATCATCACTATTTCCTGCCTGTAATGTTCTGTGGGAGGCATTTCTACAACGCCAAGTTTTCTCCAAGGCTTTGATAATTAATCTTTACATGCACGTTCAGAGGGAGGGGGACGTGGGACTTCCCGGAAAAGAGAGAGCCATCTTGGCGTCAGGATGTGAGGACACAAGGTGAAGAGTGGCTCCTCTAGGGACACTGGGGGTGAGTTCTGTGAGCTCTGGTTTCCCCACCCCCACGATGCAGTGAGGCCTGGGAGTAAAGCCCTCCCCCAGCACCTGCAGGAAATGATCTCTTAGGGACACCTCAGCCCCATTCCAGCATGGACAAGGTTCCCTTCAGGGACCCAGGAAAGAGGAGCTGTCATTCCTGTAGGCAGCCGAGCGCTTCACAACTCATTCCTGCCTTTGGAAAGTTCCTGCCTTCCGATCTCTGGTTGCCCACGACAACCTCCAGCCTCACTCCCCCCCGATGCCCCTGCGCTTGGAGCCCCGACCCAGCAGAGGCTCCTCCAACAAGGGCACCCATCTCAGACAGAAACCAGGGTGAGGACACAGCGAGACACACGTTACCCAGGATGGCGCCAGGCAGGCTGGGACCCAGGCGCGATGGCCGCTGCCAAAATCTGGTACGCCAGCAGAGTGAGAGAGAAAACATTCCCCAGGGGATGGCTGAGGTTGTGATGAATAGGAAGAGCCCAGCCTACACCCCAGTCACACAGCTGAGTCACAGGTGGTGGAGGGAGATCAGGACAGGGCAGGGGTTTGGGAGGCTGGGTCGATGAGCAGGCAGCTGGTCCTGAGATCTGTAGACACTGAGAGCCATTAACTGAACAGCATGGAGACTTTGGGGAGAGACACTGTGGGATCTGCATCCTCTCCTGACCCTCCTGAAGGTATCGGAGAAGCCTTTGCACACTGCCCTGCCTAGCTCCACAGCCAGCTCCCTCGCGCACCCCCTTCCTGTTTGGTCCACTGAGGAACACGTGGCGCCAGGGGACAGCTCTGTCTCCTGCGTGAGAGCCCCACATGGGAGGTAGGATGGGGCTGTCTCGGTGAATCTGTCATTAGGTCTTGGGACTCTGCCTCTATAATGGCCAGAAAAGTTCCTGGCTCTCTTGGTAGTAAGTGTAAGAGCCTGACCTCAGTCATTTGTTTTACTCTCTCATCCCGCTCCCTGAATCCAAGCAGAACACCGACCCACGGTCCTACAGGTCAGTGACGCAGGCTGGAAGAGAACCCAGGACTCCTGGTCCCAGGCCAGGACACTCCAAGGACCCCTGGCCTCACCCCTGTTGGAAGGACAGGCAGGCTCTGCTCACAGACAGCCCTGGACAAGCCCCAGGGTGATGTCTGGGGCCCCCGGTTGAGACCAACAGAGCCAGGCTGCTGGATGTGGGATGCAGGACACTGGCATTTCCTGCTTCCTTCCCGGCATTCCTCCTGGCGATCCCTGTGCCCAGGAATTCGTTGAAAATATCCCTCCTGTCAGCATCTGGGTGGTATTTCCATCTGGCCTCAGGGAGCTGCCTTCCAAGGATCAGGCAGGAATGTGGCAGTTTCGGGTGTCTAGAAAGAATGTCAGGTATGCAGGAGGCGGGACTGGGGCTGCCCAGGGACAGGAAGTCCTCCTCTTCCTCTCAGTGGTGAGGAAGATGTGTCAGCCCTTTGGTCTAATCACATTATCAGCAATTTAGCAAGTGGCCCTTCTCCCTGCCAAGGGACATCTGGCAACCAAAGAATGGATGGAAACATGAATGGCCTCTCCCCACTGCAGCCCTGGTTGGATCGTCCACGTGAATCAGTGAGTTAAGGACCTTTTAGTCATAGGAGGGGCTGGAGGAGCAGGCTCTATGCTGTGACCCCCAGAATGGCACTGCTGGTGTGACTCAGAAACCTGGATGTCACACCTACAGCCCCAGCAGCCTCGGGCACCTCAGAGCCTTTGCCTGGACCTGCGGTGGCTCCTGGGGAACACCTGGTGCATTCTGTGCTGCCCAGAGCTTCCAACGCAGCCCAGCTGCAAGGCCTCCTGGGAAAGGCAGTCTGAAGCGGACTGTCCTCTGGGGACAGGGAGCCCCTGAGTGGTTGGGAAGGACGCCAACTGTCCAGCACAGCCTTCATGGCTCCCCGTCATTTCAACTTACTACAGCTCCATAGGGCAACTCCAGGTGCCTCCCGTGGCCCCACCCCGTGTCCCACAGCTGTAGGCCCCGCACCCCCCCCCCACTTTCTGTTTCTCAGTGTCTGTGCCCCCTCCGCACCCCCATCTTCCAGGGCCCATGCCTGGTGGTTCCTGCCTGTGTCCCTTCTCCCTTCCCATGCATTCTATTCATCCTCCAGCTTCCACTTGAAATGTCACCCTCCAAAACGTCTCAGAATCCAAAGGCTTCAGGGAGTCACCCCAGTATATTCTGATGGCACTTTGGACATCTTCTTCTGCTGAGCACTGCTTACATCCCTTTGTCCCTTTGCCGTCCATGTAGACACTTGAGAAGCAGGCGCAGTTGTGGTTTTGGGTCATCGGTACGAAGGAATGCCAGGTTTCAGGGGCCCATTAGATCAAAGGTGTTCAATTTGGTTGAACTAGAGCAGCCTCCACTCTGCACAAGCAGGTGGGGATCAGAGTCACACTGTAGAGCGCGGGTGCTCCGGGGAAGTGTCACTCCAGCCACAGACGCAATGACAGGAGGCAAGTGGCCAGCACCCGAGGTGTGCACAGTTCCTCCGGCCTTCTGGGCACAGAGCCCACTCAGCTGCTTTTACTTTTCTTTGTTATGTGTGGTCAGATCCATAGGCCATACGTTTACCGTTTGACCCATTGTCAGTTCAGTGGCATTTAGGACATTCAAGATGTTGTCTAACAACCACCACAGTATTTTCATCACCCCCCCAAAACCCTATGCTAAGAAAGAAAGAGACAGTATAGAAGAAGCTCATCGAGCAATCACTGCCCACGCCATCTTCCTCCCAGTCCCTAGAAACCATCGAATCTGTCGTCAATGTCCATGTATTTACTTATTTTGGATTTTTCATACAGAGCACAAGGTACTACACGTGCATTGTGTCTGGCTTTTTTTCCCTTATCGCAATGTTCCCAAGAGTCATCCATGGTGTAGCATGTATCGGCGCTTCATTTCTTATGAGAAATAATATATCCTGATATGGATATCTCACATTTAGTTTAGACACTTATCAGCTGAGGGACTTTCCTGATTTTTCAAGCTTTCACTCTTGTGAATAATGTACTGTGCACATTCCTGTACAGGTGACTGTCGGAACAACTGCTCCGGTTATTTCAGTTACATATCAAGGAGTAGAATTGCTGGTTCACATGGTAATTATATGTTTAAGTTTCTGAGAAACAAACAACTTTCCACAGCGGTTGTACCAGTTTTACATTCACACTGGCAATGTATGAAGTTACCATTTCCCCACACCCTTACCCAATTTTTTCCATTTAAAAATAATCATCATTCTAGTGAGTGTGAAGTTGTAAGTCGTAGGAATCCTGACTTGATTTTCCCTTTAAAAATGGCTTTGTGGAGAATAGTTGAAGATGGTAGTGCAGAGGGGTCCTCTGTCCATGGGCACAACAGCCAGATAAGAAATACACACACACACACACAGAAACAGCAAAAACATTAAACATGAGTGGAAATGGAGGATGGAGGAGGAAGGCAAAGGGGGAAAAATCAGGACAATGTAATACAATAACAAAAAAATGTTTAAGTGCTAAAAAAAGATAATGTTTGTGCTTCAAAATGTACTCTATTTGAGTGGTGTTTTCGTGTAGTAGCTGTCCTGATTTACATCTACATTTGGGACTTAATAAAGTTTTTATATCAATAAACAATGTAGGTTTAGAATGTGTTCAGTCTTAATTTGCTCTCCACTTAAAATAGCCTTGTATACGTATAGGCTGATGCATGTGAGCCTCCTGAGAACGGCCAAAAACCTATAGTGGAGACACCAGAGATAATAAGAATGGAATCTAAATGTAACACTAAAAAAGTCACCGACCAGAAAAGAAGGAAATACAGGGAGGACCTACAAAGCAACGACAAGGTAATGAACAAAATGGCAACAAGCACATCCATAAGGGGTTCATACCCTCACATCCCCCAGGAATAAGGCCAGTTCAGGAAAAAGGAG